TTTATTTTTAACATATTTTTCATGCTACATAAAGCTATTCTTCCTTTTCTACATTTTGAGAGTAACAATTTTTTGTAAATTAAAATGTTCAAGATAACAATATTAAAGCATACATTATATATGTACTACTGATTTTTCAGTTCTCAGACTAATTTCTATCAAATCTTCCCATGAAGGTATGAGAGGTAGTCCCTCCCCACCAACCCCTTTAAGAGAATACCTTATCTTATTTTACAGTCTGTACTACCCACAAAGGACTATATTCAGCAGACCTTAGTAAGAGGGAGTCACTTCTGGACGCAGCTTTTCCCAGTATCTGGATCTCACCAAATGCTATGCATGTGTAAAAGAAGTTAAGGATAGGCTAAGACATTGAGCCAGGAAACACAGGTTTACACCTCCTGCTGGTTTCGTGTGTTCTGACCTTAGAAGAGTTGCTCTGCTTTCCTGTCTCGTGTTTCTTGGAGTAAATACAACCTGTGCCTACTGAGAACCACAACTATGTTACATTACGAGCATTCGGCCAGTGGAGGCCGGAAGCAGTCAGATCCACGAGCGCTGTGCAGTTTGCTCGCCACGTTTATACTGATCACATGGCACATACTTCACAGACGCAAGAGGACAAATCCACACTGTTGGCTTTGGGGTCTTCAGGAGCACCTTGAGCAAATGGTTCTTAAGTCAGTGAGGAGATTCTTTTTGGAAAGGAGATGGAGGGCGGGGAAGCTGTGTGAGAAATTACAAAGTGCAGAGGAGAAGCACATCCATCCAGGCAGTGATGGGAAATTCCATCTGAAAGGCAGTTGGCTTTGCTCCTGACCCTCACTCTTGTCTTCTTCTGCCTCGTGTCCACGTTCCCATTCACCATGGCTTATCTTTTTAAGGGCTGACGGAAGCGCTTATGGGTATGCTCCTTAATCAGAGGCAGACTTTCCTTGCTAGCCTCAGTGTCTGCTTTCCCCTATTTGACTTGGTGTTATCTGTCCAAGGACAATTAAATTGACTGAAAGGAGTTGATGACTAAAAACCCTGTGTTATGAGCTCTGTGTACTGCACACAGCCATTTCTATAGCCGTCCTATTCCGTATCCTAAAGCCGTTCAGCCTGAGGTCCATGATACAAACATTTAATCTCTACTCTTCTTTCACTTTCTGCTAAGCTCGTGGTTTGCGCCACCAACTCAGAGAATCAGGAAAATACACCTCCAGCCTCCTACCCTTCTCATTACTACTACAAGGGTTCTTAGCTCAGCAACTGGGTCATTCAGAACCCTCATTATTGCAACTGCATCTCTGAGACAAATGACCTGCAGATTTAAGTTCCAGTAAGTTGGAGGTTTCAGATGGGCTTTTCTGGTAGTTCTGTGCATCACTTGAGATTCGGAGACCTCGGTTACTTCCAGATTAACAAAGAGAACAAGTTGAGTGACCGGTGAAGTTCAGTAAGTTGAAAATTATACTGATAACCTTCCTTGCCAAATTTTTCTTCTTTTATCTCCATTTTGGAACATGACCCTTTCAGTTATACCCATCCCCATCAATATTAAAAATGGTCTCTTTTTCCTCAATGTCTATAACTGGTCCATCACTAATTTGGTTGCCTAGATCTTCAAGTACAGATAACACTGATGCCTAAAATAATTATGATTCACTTTTTCATACCAGATTCAAATTAAGGAGAATAATCCCCACTTTATTTCCCTGGCGAGCTCTGAGGAATACACTAATATGTATTGACAACTGACCTAATCTCCCTCCACCAGGCCCCACTCCCTGGCAGGGTCCGACTGTATGGGTCAGAGCAGAGCCTGCATGACGTCTGAGTTTCAAAGCTGCCCCAGAATCTCACGTCTAAATGTCATTACTCATTCCAACTTCCAGAAAGTAGCTTAAAGTAACAGCGTTTTCCTTCTAAACCTTGATGAATCCAACCAATCATAAATATTCAAATTATCTTTTGTTTTTTCTTATGAAACTCAAGAATGTTTAGCAAAACATGGTTCAAAGATGACTCTTGAATGGTCATGAATCTTGCCCTGCTCAGTAGGAATCTCCAAGCTTTCCTTGGTCAAAGGCAAATTAATTCAGCAGAACTCGTAATCTAACATAAACAGAATGTTTTTATTCCTTATTGTAGAACTATTTTATGGTCAACACGTGATCAATTCTCGCACTTCCTCTAGAGCACGGGAGAGCTCCGCACAGAACTAGAAATAAGGACAGCGCTGAGTCAGCAGATAAGGCCTCAGGCCAGCCGCTGTGCATACGGGAGTCAGCAGGACACCCCAGCCTCGGAGACTTTCTATTCTTTGCCATTAAAAATCTTGCTCAAGCCAAATTTTTTTTCACCAGTCATTGGCATAGCTCTTTCTGCCAGTTTCTCAAGTTTCTGTTAGCAATTAGCTTGTATCAGTGGTTCCAAAGCCTGTTTATTTGAAAATCCCAGAGCAATTTCCAAGTCCCCAGGGATCCAATTTCACTCATGGAACTAGAAACTTCAAACTAATCCAAGCTCGGTTGCCATCAATCTTCCCCCACGCTTCCAGAAGCGAAACTAACTCCTTAAGAAACAGGGGCTCCTTAGAGGTTGGGTTAAACTCCCAGGCAGCAAGGAGGGTTTTCTTTAAGTTTTCTTCTCTCTGGTGAGCATATAAACAGATTCGTAGGATCTGTTATCTCTTAACAGAGTTCCCCACGGAACATTGCCCTCTGCTCAGCAGTTTTGGCCTCAGTGTAAAGTCCATTATATTTTTTGGTTTGTTTGTTTTTCTCATGTTTTTTTTTTAATGTGTGTATTGGAAGGAGTTTGTGTGCATGTGTTTGAGTGTGTGTGTGTGTGTGTGTGTGTGTGTGCATGTGTACATGAACACTCTTTGGTTTTGTTTCTGTTTTTTGGAGACTATCAAGTTTGCTAACCCTATCCACTCCTTTTTCTTTATAGTATTTTTCAAAAAATCTGAAAGTCTGATAAAAATAAACTCTTGGCTCAAGTTTAGTGTAATAACTTGAATTGGAGGTAATACTGAGGACTTTGCTTTAAGTTCACCATCCAAGAAGTTAGCCCTCAGTATTTACCCAAGTGTAACTGGGGGCTCATGGTTGCTGAGTGGGCTTGCTTTCAAAGGAAGACAGTCTGTCAAACAAAAATTAAAGCTAATTATGTCTAATTTTTACATGGAATCTCAAAGAAATGCTAAAGGGTGAAAGAAGGCCTAGTACACATTGTGAAATACTGGCCCACAGAATAACATCTCTCTCCATCACCCCCCCGGCAGGTATTCATCCGAACTCCTGAATTCGCTTGCCTGAAATCAAATCCCGATGCAGAGATTTTCACTTAAAGATAGCACAGATGCCATCTTCTTTCTCCATTCTCTCAGTTCCTGTTGAGCCTGTTCTAATACATATCAATCAAGCCTCTATAACTTCCCAGTTTTTTCTCATTAACCAGAATATTACAAATAAGGAGAATTTGGGGGCTGATAGAACCCCCAAGAGTCCCTCTTCCTTTTACCTTTATTGCATAATAATAATTTCAGAATCTACTATATCAAGAATCCATTTTGAGTTTTCATGATTCATTAACAGATTTTTATTGAGAACGTGCAAAGTGTTACCCTAGGCATTGGACAAGAAAAAAAATCAAGTCCCTATTCTTACGGTGTTTACATTCCATATGGTATGTCAGTTGGTGATTGGAAAGAAAAATAAAGCAAGGTAAGAGATGAGAGCCAAAGCAGGGGGAAAGTGTTATTTTAATTAAGTGCTCAGATAAGTGGTCTGAACATAAAACACTGGCTCTCTTAGAAGGAATCTGGGAAGACTATAAGGGTTATGGCAAGGAAGAACAAAAATGCATAAGATTTTCAAGACACAATTGCAAATTGTTATATTCTTATATTTATTCGACAAGCACACAGCAAGCAGGCAATCTGAGGAAGAGATCAAGTCACAGCTGGTGGCTCGGGGTACAGAACTAAGGCCAGACGCCCTGCCCGTGCGGAGCCTACAGGGCAAGGAGGGTGATGGACAGGTGGTTTCCCATCTTTGAAGTGGTGACAGATGTTCTGGGGGAAGATTAAGAAGGCCACAGAAACATGTAATGTGGGAACCTCATCTGGCTGGGAGAGGTGATCTGGGGAGCTCGCCTGCTGTTGGTGAGGGTGGAACCAGTCCAGCAAAAGGGTGGCGTGTGTGAAGGCCCTGGCAGGGGAAGGGTCTAGGCATCAGAGGCATGAAGGGAATGGAGCCGCAGGTGCCCTGTGTACACGTGGTTATCACAACACATCATTTACAGGTGAAATGCTAAACACAGCCGCCTGTTCTTCAGAGTTAGGATAGACAATGATGATAACTCTGCTGCGTCGCCCTCCCGGGCGGTGCCCTCTGAGAGGAAAGTGACGGGTCCTAAGATCACCAGAGATCACACAGCTGCAGCTCCAGGTGTGAAAAGAAAAAGTGAAGTTGTAGCAACACTTATAATGTGGCACTTTTTATAACTTGCTTTGTTTTGGCATTCGCTAAGTCCTTCAAATGTTTGCTTTCTGTGTTTTATTGTATTTTTGTTTGTTTTCTTCTTCTCTTTTTTTGGAGGGGGGTGCAGGAGGAGGCTTCAAACATAAACTTTAAATGCTATTTTGACCAAAAATGTACTTTTAAAATGCTTATGATTTCTTTCCTCTTCCTTGCTTTGAACTTGCTTTCTGTTTTTCCAAACCTTCTATTAGATACATATTTATGTGTTTTAGTTTATTTTCATGACTTCTTCTTAAAAAATGAATGGATTTAAGGTAGTGGATTGACTTCTCCATACAAAGTTGACTCTGTAGAGATATTCATTTTTCTGATATTCAGAGATCATATTTGTAAAATGGGGAAAAGATATGAGAGAATTTAGCACCAAATGAGGCATATTGTACAACATTAACAGTAACCTTTATTACTCTTTAAATAATAATTTCCCACAATGATTATATAATAGTAATGGTACTTCTGACTCACAAATAACTCAAGCTGTGAAGGTGAACATTCTCTGTCTCTAAATGTCTTCTGCTGTGGCCAGAGATCATACCGATGAAACTCCTGCAATGACAAAAAAATTATTGAAGTTGTAGCAACAATTCATCAATATCTTAAGTATTCAGTGGTTACTTGAAGAGGAAGTAAGTAATCTATTTTTAGGTTATAAATCTTAAACTGTTTGCAAATAATTCAACTTAAGGCATGTTTTCAAATTTTCAACATCCCTTTCTTTCCACATTACTATTGTTATCACCCAGTAGGGTTGAGCTTTTCAAAAGGAAATTGATGGTAAATTATTTGTTGCACAAAATTTCATGAGTACATGAAAGATAGAGTTTACTTTGCAAATATGAAATTTATTTTTCCTAGCTTTTAATTTTGAATCACATTAATTTCTTCTGTATCAAACAGTAATGTTGTCACTTCTTTCTCCAGGAGGTTGTTAAAACTGATAGTTCTTGGCTCATAATTTATTTTTATTCTACTGTTTTACTTGAGTTATTGTTTAAAAACTTACCTGGGGGGGTGGGGGTGTCTGCTTTCCACAGTTACCACATTATATTTTAATTAAAATGTCCAGATTCAATTTAAAAATTACATTACACACAAAGTAACAAGACAGTATGGATCCTATGTGGGAAAAAGAGACCATCAATAGCAACTGTTCCACAAAAGCCCAGAGATTTTTAAATCAGCTTTAATAGGAAAATTCAAAGAACTAACAAAAACCATTTCTAAAAACTCAAAGGAAGTATGAAAACAATCTCTCTCCAAAGAAAGAACACCAATAAGGAAGTATAAGCTATAAAAAACAAACCAAATAAAAATTCTGAAATGAAAAATTTTCTACACAGGCTCAACAGCAGATTTGAACTGGCAGAGAAAATAATCAACAAAATCAGAGACAAGTAAATTGAGGGGATGCACACTGAGGCACAGAAAGAAAAAAATAATGCAGAACGATTGATAGAACTTGAGAGACCTGTGGGGACACGATCACCAATTCCAAGCTATGCATAACAATCATCTCAGAAAGAGAGGAAAGTGAGAATCAGGCAGAAAAATATTTGATGAAATAAAAACTAAAAGTTCCAAAATGTTGAAAATCATTAAAGCACACCCAAAAGTTCAGTGAACTCTTAAAGCAGGATAATCTCAAAGGGATCTAGCCAGCCTCATCAAAAGAAAAATCTTAGAAATAGAAAAAAATGACTCATCACATTCAAAGGCTCTTCAGTAAGACTAAGAGACAACCTCTCATCAGGAACCACGGAGGCCAAAAGGGGAAAGGGTGACATGATATTCAAAATGCTAAAAAAAAAAAACTGCAAATAATTCTATAACCAGTAAAAATTTCCTTCAAAACTGAAGGAGGAATGAAGACATTCCCAGATAAACAAAAACTGAGTGAACTTGCTGCCGTCACACTATCCTGTAAGAAATACTTAAGTGAGTACATAGGCTTCAAATGAAGGACACACTAGAGTAACTTGAATCCACACAAAGAAATGACTACTCGTAAAGGTATTTGGATAGGTAAATAAAAAAGACAGTGTAAATATATTTTTATTTGTAACTGTTGTTTCACTTTTGATTTAAAATACAATTCCACAAAGTAATGATGATAAAACTGTGTTGATGGGCTTACAATATGTAAGGGTATAATTTATATGACAATAATAATACAAAATAGTGGGGAGTGGTTTATAGTTCTGTAAAGTTTTTATATACCATTGAAATTAGTATAAATCTGAACTAGACTGTTTTAAATTAAGATGTTAACTGTAATCTCCAAGGTAACCACTAGACAAAAACTTTAACACATAGTAAAATACACAATAAAAAAATTAAAACGATACATTGGAATATGTATCTATTTATAGATACACACAAAGAAGGCAGTAATGAGAAATGTTCCAAGATTTCATGTGTATAAAGCATTGAGAACAGGCGGATCCGTACAGGAAGGAAGCAGCCCAGTGTTTGGCGCGTGGGAAGGAGGACGAATGGGGAGGGACCGCTCGGGGGCATGGAGATCCGTTCGGGGGATGACAGAAAAGTTCAAAAGTTATGCACCAGTGTTGTAGGACTCTAAGCACAGAACTGTACACTTTGAAAGGGTGAATTTTTTTGGTATGTAAATTATATCGCGAGTAAGCAATTGTTTTTTAAAAATAACTCAGTTTCCAAAAGAACACTGCCAGTTAGGATTACTTCTGTTTCTCTTGTACGCACTGGACACCTTTCTGCTCCTCTGGAGCGATTCCTGGCCATTCCCACCGCTCGGTGCTCGGGAGGCTGAACCACGCGGGGCGTGTCGGTGCCGCCCTTGCCCGCTGGCTCTTTGCTGGGCTCCCCGGGGAGGGCTCCGTGGGTGAGGCGGCAGAAAGGGAGGGTGCAGCCGCGGAGCCGCGTCCTCACTCGCCCCCGCTGGGCCTGTGGTCATCTGCCTGTCCACCCGACGCCGCCCTCGGCCGCAGTCCTCCTCCCAGACCCACCTGCTGGGTTCCGGTGAATATGCCCCCCCCCCTCGCCGTCGGGCACACGGGGGGGTTCAGGGCCGGCTCTTGGATCCCTACACCTGCGTATATATTTTCTTACGAGCAGCATTTTTATTAATTAGCAACTTCCAGCTGTCTTCTGCCAATTCCCTATTGACACACCGGGTTTCGTTAAAAGGATTTTTTCGTTTTGTTATTTCCTTTAAGTTCTGGGCCTTTGTTTTTGCCCTTTCCTCTCTTCTGCTGTGCGGTCCCTCCCAGGGTTGTTTTCAGCAAGGGCTTTCAAGGCGATCTTCCTCTTTTTAGCTGCACTTGAGATTAGTTTAATGTCTAGAACCATATTAAACTACTGAAATCTGTAAGAAAATAATTTTGGCCGCTCTTACCTCAATGTAAGGGATTTGGCCCTCTCCCACTTCTCTCCTTTTCTGTTTTAGTAGTGAATTTACTTTGAGTTTGTGAAGAAAGTCTTTCTTCACTTAAAAATACTTCATTTTATCTCTTTTATACTGGGTTTCCTGGCCATGTACCTTTAAGCTACATGTTGTACCTCATAACGATGTAACAGCAGGAGGACCTGGGTCATTTCCATTGGGGGGTCCCAGGGAATGGAGACTTGCTTGATTTGCCTTAATTAAAATATGTATTTTTAAATTCTTTTAATAAGAATAGTTAACAAAGTAAGAAAGAGGAAACTGTTCTGCAGATTTTTGAGGGCTGGATAAATCTGTAGAATATTCAGGTACATGTAACAATTCAAAGAGAAAGTTTAGTTATTGTGTCATATTATGATATATTCAAGAGCAATGATACATTTTTTTTTCCTGTTCTACAAATCAGGAACCTGAGTATTGTATATTTTATTTTATAATTTACTTCTAATTCCATCTCATAAGCACCACTTGGCATAGCCATTTTGGCGCTCTGCCACATCACAAACACAGCCCCGAACTGGCATCAAGCACCGACTTCGGCAGAAGCATGGTGTCTCTGAAGAAAGTATAAATATCTATGTCTTGAGGCCCAACATTATTTTCTATCACAAATTTTTCATTAAATTGCCTTTAGCCTAAAAATTTAAATGATCACTTCTTTTTATATTGCTACTCTGGTTCATTTTCATCATTTATGATATTTCTTGAGACAGTCATTTGAATTGCTGTTCAAACTTTGCATTATTTATTTTCTTGCAATTGTCTTATCTCTCCAAATTCATTTAAGCTTTTGAGACCACAGACCTTTTCATTTATATTTTATGTACATCACACACCTGACAGCTCAATGCTGGAGACAGAGATGTTCAATAAATATTTTTTGATTTGATTTATTACAGCTCTTATTAGTTCTGTGTGCTCAGTCCGGTAGCACATTCCCTTCTGTTTGGTATAAAGCAGACAGCCCTTGATATACTTTGAAATGCAGTCCAGAATTAATAATCTCTGAGAAACATGATACGCTTTTAAACTTCTCAAATCTCTTGTTAGAAAACTCAAGAGACTTAAGGCATCGACTTTTCATGATCTGTACCTCGTTTGGTTAACATTCATGTCTACAGCAACATCGTGAGGTGAACAAGGGCTGCACAAATCTTTGGATTTGTTTAAAATTGGCATTTAATATGTATGTTTTTTCTTTTTAAAAGCATTTGGGGAGAGTTCAGCTGCCAGGTCCCTTGAGCAGAATGGTTTTCTTGAACTGCTTCTGTGTTGTCTCACAGCCATATATTTGGCCCTGTAGCTTGAAAACAGGAAAAGGAGGGGTGGGGAGAGAGACCTGTTCATTCCCAGTGGGGATCCATCGGGACTCTAAATACCTGAATATTTTCAACCCACTGGGAAGCTAGAAGCACTAATGGAAGAACAAATAAACAGAGTTCTGAAATAGTAAGCTAATTCCATATAAATCATAATGATGTTCCAAAGGACAGAGATTTAAATCCCCTTTTCCCTTATAAAGGCTTAATTATATAAAATAGCTCTGTGGAATCATTTCAACCGGTCTTGTCCCTAATCAGAGGCTGTATCCCCACAATTATACAAAATCATTGGAAAATATTATTTCATCTTAAAATGTTTAAATATCCAGATGTTTGGTGGCAAGTAAAACAAACATCTAGGTGACTGACTGGATTTTTAAGTATTTCTTCCAGGTCTGGACAAAGATGTTAAGAATTCAATTTAGTTACTAAATTGTTCCATGGCTAACAATCTTATACTAAATATGAAGCATATTCATGAAGGAAAGTACTTAGAACTTTGCATTAAGATTATTCCTAAATATACTAAAATGTAGAAATGCTCTTCTCCCCCACCTGCCCCAGCGTGGAGGGGGTCCTAGAAAGCCAGTCTGATGTACAGACGGCTGAAGAGGTGTTTCCTCTATAACTGCTGCACGTGTGTTTGGGCTGAGGTGACCCCCGACAGACGCTGTGCCGATGGATGCTGTAGGAATGCCCCTGGGCACTTGGGGATAAGGCGACTGAACAGACGTGAATTCTAAATGGCCATGTAGGGGAGGAAAAATCTTTCCTCTACCCTTCTAGGTTCTATTGGCTTGTCT